GAGAACAGTATGGGGGAAACTGCCCCATGATTCAATTATCTCCACCTGGCCCTGCCCTTGACACGTGGGGATTATTACAATTCAATGTCAGATTTGGGTAGGGACACAGCCAAACCATACATCCACATCTTTCTCTCTTCCAGTTTACTCCCTCATTTTAGTGGAGAATATTCTCCATTGGCTTCCTGACTTAAAGCAGCAAATATGAGGCAGCAACGCTTAAAAACTATAGCTTCCACTTATGAGTTAACATATTTCTTTAGACATTCTAGTTTCTTTTTGCCATCTGTTATGGTTAATGCTACAGGTCAACTTGGCTAGGCCATGGTACCCAGCTATTTAGTCTGGAGCAAGGTTCATCAGGAGGATATATATGCTCTGAATCAGTATCCAACATATGGTATGGTTTGTCCCATAACCAGGATTCACAGGTCCCAGAATCAAGGGTGGAAATGGGAGTGGCACCACTCATTGTTACCCCTACTGATGCACTAGCAAAATTTTTGCTTCCTGTTCCTGTAACTTTATGTTATATTGGCCTAGAGGGCTTAGTTTCAAAGGGAGGAATGCTTCCAGCAACAGAGGCAAAAATGATTCCATTGAACTGAAAATTAAGGTGCCACCTGGCCACTTTGGTCTCTTCATGCCTCTGCATCAGCAGGCAAAAAAGGGAGTTACTGTGCCAGCTGGGGTGACTGATCCTGGCTACCAAGGGGAAATTGTACTGTTACTCCACAACAGAGGGAAGAAAAATTTTCTGGAACACCAGAAACACCTTAGGTGGTCCCTTAGTAATTGTCACACCCTGTGATTAAAAAGTCAACAGAAGACAACAACTCAATTCAGGCAGGGCTAACATCTCAGATCCTTCAGGAATGAAGGTGTGGATCACCTTACCAGATAGAGAAAGAACCATGATCAGGCAAGGTGCTTGCTGAGGGCAAAGGGAATACGGGTTCGGTAGTAGAAGGTGGCAGGTTACATATATCAGCTATGACCATGTGACAAGTTACAGAAAAAAAGCACTGTAAATTGTAATGAGTATTTCGTATCTTTCCATGGATTATTTCCATGTTTGTGTTTGTGCGTGTGCATCTGCATGCCAATCTTTGTTTTCTTCCTTCTTTTATCCTCTTATCATATGTCATAAGGTGTAGTGACTTTATATCACAGTATTTAAATACTGTTAACTTTACATCACAGTATTTACGTTAAAGCATATCAAGGAGATGCTGGAAAAGTTCAGTGCCACAGGACTTCATACCCTCTTCTGGGGAAAGGGTTAGTGTGTTTCATGCGGGATTAGTTGTAGCATGTCAGAAGAACATACAACTTTGTTATTGCCTGTATCTGGAGATTAGGTATGGTTTAAGGAGAGGTGTATGGGTGCCAAGTTGACAAGGGGTAGATTTGCGATAATTTTATGTGTCATCTTGGCTAGGCCAAAGTATCCAAATATTAGGTCAAACGTTATTCTAGGTGTTTCTGTGAAGATATTTTTAGATGAGATTAACATTGAAATCAGTAGACTTTGAGTAAATCAGATGACCCTCCATAATGTGTGTGGGCCTCATCCAATCAGGTGAAGGTCTTAATAGAAAAAAACATGACCTCCCCTCCCACACCCCGCCAATCTAAGGGGGACTTCTGGCCAGCAGACTCCAACTGCAACTCCTCCCTGGATCTCTTGCCTGCCAGCCTACACTGAAGACTTTGGACTTGCATCTCCACAATCTCATGAGCCAATCCCTTTAAAGAAGTCTCAATCTCTCCCTCAGTCTCAGTCTCTCCCTCTCTCTCCATACATAGAAAATCAAAATCAAAATTGGTTCTATTTCTCTGGAGAACCTTAATATACAATATTTTCTGAAATCCTGCATTTGTACTTTGCATTCTCTGGGGATAGAAACAATTATGACTAAAGATCTCTTTAGTAAAAGAAACAATCACTGACTTTTTCCCACAGATTAAAACAAATCTGCTATGAAAAGTGTTCTAGCAAAAATGACAAAACAACTTTCAGCATGTGTGACCACTTTTCCTGAAAATATTCAGTTCTGGGTTATGTTAATCATAGGCGCTGTAGTTCCTTTAGGATGAGGGAGATGAGTTTTAAGACCTAGATGTTTGAAACCACTAACACTGAAAGAAACTCTAAGTATGTGGTATCCACGCAATGTGTTTTTAATTAGGTTGGGCAAGGTCTTTAGATAAGATCTTGAACCAAAGGGCCTAAAACTTAATTTTCTTTGCAGTCTGCCAAACTGCAACATAAGGGACACAGCTGGTGATTGAGAAAAGCTGATATAGAAAGAAATGCAATTATTGCGACTTTTGTGGGTTTACCCATCATGCTATAACCAACAGAATCGACTGGCAGAGAGAAATTCAGCTTAGAGAAACCCAAGACCACATCAGCCATCACATGTGGAGCGGCTCCCAGCCAGCCTTCCTACGGCAGCTTCCTCAAAGGTTGCAGCTATGATTCAAGGAACCGTCCCATCCTTCCACTGAAAACAGCAATAAATGGGAGGGATTCATCTGCTTCTAACTGACCAAAAATGGTGCTCTATGAGATAATGCAACAGAATTAGCTTGGCTGGGCTCTCGATCTTCTACAGAGATCTGGCTTCTTGGACAAAGGTGAAGAAAACTGTTTCACATTCCCCACCCATCTCACCCCAGCCCTGAACAAGCTTAACCCCATGCCCTTCAAACAAAGTCTTTAGTGCTTTCTGTGTCAGGGCTCTGCCTGGAACCCACCGCAGTCCTCTACTTTCTACTTGTTTAAGTCCTGGGCAGTCTTCCTTGATAACATGGTCTCACTTCTCCCCTCATTTCCAAGACCCTCTTTGACTGCCCTGGGCCTCTGTGTATGTGTCCCCTCTGAACACTTCCTGCTTTGAATGTCTCTATTGGACACATTGCAGTTATTACTAACAACGACAATAGCAGCAATAACAGCAGCCACCATTTATCAAGCATGTAATAAGAACCAGCCTGTGTTCCAAGTGCTTGATATGTGGCAAAATTCTTAAAACCATCATTTGACCTACATACTAATACCACCCTGTAAGAACCAAGGCTTAGAAAGTAACTTGAACTTGCCCAAGGTCACAGCTATTAGTAGGACATAGAAGCATGATTAAAATCCAGGTCTATCTGATTCTATCTGCTCCCCATCCTGGCTTCTCAAGTTGAACGCATGCAACTTGAGAGCTGGGTCCCTGCCTTACTTTGTATCTGTATCTGAGTGCTGGGTTGAACACTCAGGTCGTGTTTGCTGATGGGCATGTAAAGGGACTTAAGGTTTAGCAGGTGAAAGGCAGGTAAAGAAAGCAGGTGGAGAGGTCAAGGGAGGAGGGCTAGTTCTAACTGTGTATAAAATGCTAACTGGGGGATTATAGCCCATGAATCATAAAACCTGCAATGCTATATAAGAATGACTCAATGTGTGCAAACACATGTAATGATCAGACACTGGACGTTACATATAACAAAATTGGCATCAGAAAAATTTAATGCCAAAAAAAATTTAATGCCAAAAAATATGCACAGATGGCACAGATAATCAGACACAGATAGCACCTATATTCCTTCAACATCTAAAGTTGATAGACTTTGAGTGATTAGTTGTGAATAAAGTGACACAATCTTTTTTATATTACATACCTTCTGGGATGCATTGTCCAAGAACAAATTTATATCCTTTGCAGCACTTTTTCCTAAGAGACAAACAAATATTTAAAATATAATATTAGGTTAAAAATAAAATTCTTTTCAGTTATTGTTTTTTGAATGAAATAACCTGTGCCCAGGAAACACTGAGGCATAAAGCAAAGTAGGGGCAAAGTATTTTTAAGGCAATCTGGGATTAAAAGAAAAAATATCAATAATACATGACCACATTTTCTAATACCGGGATATTCTTTCTGCTACATAATATATGAAATCAACATTTTGAATCCTATGAAATTAAATAATTAACTCAGACTTCAAGATACTTATATTAAGCAATTAAAGGAGTATAGGACACAAATAGGAAAAGGACCTTTAAGGATGACCAGGCCTCTCATTCCACAGGCCAAAGAGATACAACTCGTTTATTATAACAATTAATGAATCATAATAACAATACTTGGCTAATTATAACATAATGATTGTTAATTGTAATATAACAATAATTAGGTAGTCAACTATTAAGGCAGAGACTGGAACCCAAACATTCTGATTCTCATTTGAGTGATTTTTTTTAAAAACCCCTTGTACCATATAAGAGACCGAAAGGCACCTACATGATCCGAATTTAAAATACAGCGAACAGGTCATTCCTAACATAAATATTCAATACTTACTCCACTTCAACCAAGCTAAGTTAACCAAGTTAACTACCTGCTAGAAGAAAAATATTTACACTCTCTGAATGAATACAGCAAGATGCAGGCTCTCTACAACATAACATGTACAAATGTGACCCATTCTCAAAGAGAAGACAATCAATGCTGCAATCTCCAAGATAACCCATATGTTGGAATTATTAGACTTTAAAGTAGCTATTTAACTGTGTTCAATTACATAAAGGAAAATATACCTGCAATGAACAAAACAGAAAATGTCAACAGAGAAACTACTAAAAGAACAAAACAGAAATTATAGAACAAACAGATCTGAAATTTTTAAACATGCTGCTGGATGTGCTTAACAGAAGAATGGAGAAATGATGCAGGAAAGAATTTGTGAATTTGAAAATAAATGAAATAAAATAAATAAATGAAATAAATAAGTGAACATTATCCAATCTGAAGGAAAGAGAAAAAAAGACTTAAAAAAGGGAACAGAGACTTGTGGGCTAATATCAGAGGTCTAAGGTCTGGTACTTGGAGTTCTAGAGGGACAGGAGACAGTAAATGGAGCAGAAAAATATATTTGAAAAAACAATGGCTGAAAACTTCCAAAATGTAGTGAAAGAAATACATTTTCAGATTAAAGAAGTTTAGCAAGCCCGAAACGGCTAACTACACACATACACAAAATGCCTACAGATGTCATAGTCACGTTGCTGAAACCTAAAGAGAAAATCCTGAAAGCAGAGAAAAATTACACATGATATACAGGGAAAGGATGATTTTAATAACCACGAACCTCTCATCAGAAAACCACAGTAACCAGAAGACAGTGATATGACATCCTTTGAGTGCTGAGAAAACAAACTTGTTCAACCCAGAATGTCCAGTGAAAATATCCTTCAAGAATGAAGGTGAAATGAAGACATTTCAGATTATAAAAAACTAAAAATTCATTGCCAGCAGACCTGTGCTAAAGGGAGTTATTCAGGCTATCAGGAGATGACACTAGAGGGAAACGTACATCTTTAGGAAGGAATGAAGAGCATTATAAATGTAAATATCTGAGTACATATAAAGAATTTTTAAGTTCTGGATACATGTGCAGCACATGCCGGTTACATAGGTATACGTGTGCCATGGTGGTTTGCTACACTCATCAACCCGTCACCTAGGTTTTGAGCCCCACGTGCATTAGGTATTTGTCCTAATGCTCTCCCTCCCCTTGCTCCCCATCCCTCAACAGGCCCGAGTGTATGATGTTCCCCTCCCTGTGTCCATATGTTCTCATTGTTCAACTCCCACTTATGAGTGAGAACATGTGGTGTTTGGTTTTCTGTTCCCGTGTTCATTTGCTGAGTGATGGTTTCCACCTTTATCTATGTCCCTGCAAAGGACATGAACTCATTCTTTTTTATGGCTACATAGTATTCCATGGTGTATGCCAGTTAGAATGGCGATCATTAAAAGTCAGGAAACAACAGATGCTGGAGAGGATGTGGAGAAATAGGAACGCTTTTACACTGTTGGTAGGAGTGTAAATTAGTTCAACCATTGTGGAAGATAGTGTGGCAATTCCTCAGAGATCTAGAAATACTGTTTGACCCAGCAATCCCATTACTGGGTATATATCCTAAGGATTATAAATCATTCTACTATAAAGATACACGCACACATATGTTTATCACAGCACTAGTCACAATAGCAAAGACTTGCTCTTAATTTCTCAAAGCAAAAATAGTAACATACATTGTCTTGCAAGGTTTGTAGTTGCATGTAGTTGTAATAAATATGACAACTGTAGGAAAAAATGGCAGATGGTTAAATGGACCTATATGGTTACAAAGTCCCTACATTTTATGTAAAATAGCAAAACATTGGCATTTCTGCTGGAGCTAATGTTTCCTTTGTCTCATTGTCTCCTGCTCCCATTACTTTCCCCTTTCCTTGCCTTCACCACTTCCATCATCATACACGAGAAGCTGAGAATTAACCACTGTACAGTGGATCTGCAAATCTCAAGAACATACCCCAAGATATTTTGACTATACAGGTTAAATGACCATTTTGAAGAAGTATTTTTTGGTAACTATTAAAAACATAAGATTCAAGGTTATTCCTACTGCAACATCATTCTCGCTCATTTGTGTTTGGGCATGCTTTCTAGGAAGAGAAACTGAGTTAAACGCAGTCTACCACCGGGAACTGCATGTCACCTACAGCCTGTCATGTCAGCTGTGTGAACACACTATTTGCATATCAAGGTAGAGAAAGGAGCACAAACCACTGATTTGGGAAATCAGACATTATCTGTGTCTTAAAACAAGTTTCAGTTTTGTCGAATAATCAGAACTTTCACGTAGGTTAGATAAGGTCTTCTAAGAATTTTGACACACTTAATTTTTTTCCATCACATTTTAATAAAAAATAATTTAAGATCATTATTTTCTACTCCTTCAAATGAGTATAATATGATTATATTACAGGTTGAGTAACCCTCATCTGAAATACTTGGAACCAGAAGTGTTCGGATTTCAGATTATTCGGGAGTTTGGCATATTTGCAGAATACCAGCTGAGCATCCCCAGTCCAAAAATCTAAAATCTGAAATGTTCCAATGAGCATTTCTTTTGAAAATGTTTCAAAATTTTGGATTAGGGATGCTCAACCTGTATTGGTCAAATTAATTTGCTGCACTACAATTTGGTCTCCCAGGTAAATTACCATTCCTAGGAGAAACTTAAGTAATCTCTTCCTGAAACAAAATTTATAAAAATTTGATAAAATCCATAATTATAGTTTTATGCGGAATTTATGAAAAGTTCATATAT